TTTTCCTTCTTCTCTTTCTCCTTTTCCTTCTTCTTCTCTTTTTCCTTCTCTTTCTCCTTTTCCTTCTTCTTCTCTTTTTCTTTCTTCTTCTCTTTTTCCTTCTTCTTCTCTTTTTCCTTCTTCTCTTTTTCCTTCTTCTCTTTTTCCTTCTTCTCTTTTTCCTTCTTCTTCTCCTTTTCCTTCTTCTCTTTTTCCTTCTTCTTCTTTTTTTCCTTCTTCTCTTTTTCCTTCTTCTCTTTTCCTTCTTCTCTTTTTCCTTCTTCTCTTTTTCCTTCTTCTTCTCTTTTTCCTTCTTCTTCTCTTTTTCCTTCTTCTTCTCTTTTTCCTTCTTCTTCTCTTTTTCCTTCTTCTTCTCTTTTCCTTCTTCTCCTTCTCTTTTTCCTTCTTCTTCTCTTTTTCCTTCTTCTCTTTTTCCTTCTTCTTCTCTTTTTCCTTCTTCTCTTTTTCCTTCTCCTTCTCTTTTTCCTTCTCCTTCTCTTTTTCCTTCTTCTTCTCTTTTCCTTCTTCTTCTCTTTTTCCTTCTTCTCCTTCTCTTTTTCCTTCTCCTTCTATTTTTCCTTCTTCTCCTTCTCTTTTTCCTTCTCCTTCTCTCTTTCCTTCTTCTTCTCTTTTTCCTTCTCCTTCTTCTCTTTTTCTTCTTCTCCTTCTCTTTTTCCTTCTCCTTCTCTTTTTCCTTTTTTTATTTATACTTTATAGATACAGGTTATAGACAGGGGGTTATTTCTAATCCCTTGTATTATTTAAGCCAAAGACTTTCTTATTAATGAAACTCCCTCTAGAAGCTGGACCTGATGGCAAGACTCGTGTCTTTGTTATGAGTTGAAACATCAATTATTAACCCGGATGGTGGGACCTCCATCTATGTACAGCAGTCTTGAAGGCTTGCAGGCTGGGGAGGTTGTGCAATGAGGTTTGCTGAACCATCGTGTTCCAGAGCCTGGCATATTGGGCTTGAAAAGAGCGTAGATGAAGTTCAGTCCTGGAGAAGGGTATTTGCAGCTCTTGACTGCGGTTGCTAGAATGTTGTGTGTCATGCGTTGCAGCCGTTCGTTGTTCAAGTCGCAAGGACATGAGATGAGGGACGCGTTGCCTGTGTATTTTGTAGAGTACACAGAGAGCTGCAACATTTCGCCGATGCTGAAGTGGCTGGAAGGGTAAATGTCTGGCATTTTATATGACACTAGTCTCTGGGCTCGATTTTGGACACTGTCTAGTAGTCCCAGGTATGATGGAGGGCAGCAGGACCACACCAGAGGGCAGTACTCCACAACGGAGCGAACCTGGGAGTGGTAGAGCGCGCAGCAGTCTTTGGCGTCAAGGAGGGGCGCGATGCGACGGATGCATGCCGGTTCCCTCGCCGCGGTCTTCGCCATTCCCCTGACGTGGTCCATGAAGGTGAAATGGCTGTCGATCTGTACCCCAAAGATGCTGATGTCGCTGTCGTAGGCGAGGGTCTTGCCGTCCATCATCAAGGCCGGAGTGTGTACGAGGGGATCCTGTCGTCGCGTTATCAGCATGGCCTGGGTCTGCTCCATGCAGTGATGAATGCCATGGTGTTGTTGATGTGGTGCACGGAGTCTTTTCGATTTAAGTGGTTGCAGGTGAAGGACAGAGTACAGTCATCTGCAAGGGCATGGGCGTTTGGTATGAGCTGCAGAATATCATTGAAGTGGACATTCCATAGCAATGGCCCGATGACACTGCCTTGTCAGACGCTTGCCCCGACTGGAAATTTAGAAGATGTATGGCCGTTTACCACTACCTGCATTGTTCTTCCATGCAGGTAGTCTTCAAACAACATCAGCAGGGCTCCTGCTATGCCAAGGCTTCTCAGCTTTGCTATGATGCCTTTATGCCACACTCTGTCAAATGCTCCAGCTATGTCGAGTGCAATGACAAAGGTTTCATTGCCGACATCGAGGAAGTTTTGCCAGGCAGTCGTAAGTTGGAGGAGGAGGTCCGACGCAGATCTCTGAGACCTGAAGCCGAACTGCCTGTTGCTGATGAGGTGGTGTTCATCAAAGAAGCTGGTCATTTTCTTAACCAGAATTCTCTCATAGACCTTCGCCAAGATGGACAAGAGAGATATGGGTCTATAATTCATAGAAGTTTTGCTCATCTTCTTGTGAATGGCCACGACATTTGCAGTCTTCCACAGTTTTGGCCACGATTTCTGTGACATATATATTGGAACAATGCAGCAAGTGGTGTGGCCAGCTGGTCGGCACACTGAACCAAAGTATGAGGGCTGATTTTGTCTGGCCCCACAGCCTTCGTCACATCCAAGTCCTTGAGTTCCCTTTTTACTTCTTGTACTGTGATAGACACATTATAGAGCCGTGATTGAGTCTGTGGTGGCAATCTAGGGGGCGGCACATTGGGTTCAGGGACAGTCATTTTACAGACGAAGTAGCTGGCAAGAAGTTCTGCTTTCTCCTGGCTTGAGGTAGCCACAGATCCATCTGACTTGTCAAGAGGAGGGATGCCATCGTCTGGCGCAAAACCCTGATTTTTCTTAATGCAGCTCCACCAGGATTTACCTCCACTGACTGGCTAATCAGCCTGGCCCGCAGGTCCTGTTTCCAGCGTAAGATGGCCCACTTCTGAGCCCTCTTCATCCTGGAGCAGGTAGCAGCATGGAGTTGCTTATTTAACCTTGTATAGGGTTACGTTTGTAGTGGACCCAAGCCCTGGATTTGTTGTCTGCTGCTGCTCTACAGTGAGGGCCAAACCAAGGTTGATCCATCGGTCTGGCTTTATAGTCTTCATGGAGTACAAAATGCGATTGGAGAGTGACCAAGTGACATGTCAGAGCTTTGGCTTGGTCGTCTACATTTCCAACCAGAATGTTCCATTCTGCTTCATTCAGAGCGTCTCGAAGGCCTTGCCAATTACTTCTGCTCCAGTGCCATACTATGCGTGTAAACGCTTCCTCCCGCATAGCTCTGATGTTGAGCCTGGTAAGGACGGCATAGTGGTCAGAAGAGCCAACGGTCCCCACAGAGTGACATGTTACAGCTCCGTCAGGAAGGTCAGTGATGACGGGATCAAGAGATGAACCCGATGTGTGCGTCGGGAAATCCACACGGTTTGCCAGACCAAAGGTGACTAATAGATCTTCGAATGACCTAGCCACCAGGTACTGGTTTAGATCACCTACGATTATGATATTTTTTGTGGAGTGTTGATGAAGCAAACAGTCGAGGTGATTCTGGAGAAATTTCAACGGTTCAGGTCCTTGCCACTGGGTCTGTAACAAACACACAGGAGAGAGGCTTCTTGAGCTCCAGGTGGTCAGGCATTTCCACTTGTAGTGGTTGGACTTACAGACCAGTTCTGAAGCATACAGCTACGCCCCCGAATGTGCCATTTGCCCTTCTCCTTCTCTTTCTCCTTCTACCCTTTTTCCTTATTCTCCTTCTCTTTTTCCTTCTTATCTTTTTCCTTCTTCTCTCTTCTCTTTCTCCTTCTTCTCCTTCTCTTTTTCCTTATTCTCCTTCTCTTTCTCCATCTCTATCTCCTCCTTTTCATTCTCTTTTCCTTCTCCTTCTCTTTTTCCTTCTTCTCTTTCTCCTTCTCCTCCTCTTTCTCATTCTTCTCTTTCTCTTTCTCCTTCTTCTTCTCTCTTTCCTTCTTCTCCTTCTCTTTTTCCTTCTCCTTCTCTCTTTCCTTCTCCTTCTCTTTTTCCTTCTTCTCCTTCTCCTTTTCCTTCTCCTTCTCTTTTTCTTTCTTCTTCTTCTCTTTTTCTTTCTTCTTCTTCTCTTTTTCCTTCTTCTCCTTCTCCTACTCTTTCTCCTTCTTCTCTTTCTCTTTTTCCTTCTTCTCCTTCTCTTTTTCCCTCTTCTCCTCTTTTTCCTTCTGCTCCTCCTTCTCCATCTCTTTCTCCTCCATTTCTCTTTCCTTCTTCTCCTTCTCCTTCTTCTCTTTTTCCTTCTCCAGCTCTATCTTCTTTTCCTTCTCTATATCCTTCTCTTTCTGTTTCTCTTTTTCTTTTCCTTCTCTTTCTCCTTCTTCTTATTCTCCTCCTCTTTCTCCTTCTTCTCCTCATTTCTCCTTCTCCTCTTTCTCTAACATCTTCCTCCTCTTTCTCCTATATCTTTCTCTTTTTTCTGTTTCCTTTTTCTCCTTCTCCTTCTCTTTCTCCTCCTTCTCCATCTTTTTCTCCTTCTTTTTCTACCTTTTTTCTTTCTCCTTCTTCTTCTCCTCCTCCTCCTCTTCCTCCTACAGCT